AATAAGTAATTGAACCCTTGTTCAGGATCAGCTGAACAAGCAAATGGGGTGGGGATAGGAGGAGGAGAGAGTGAGGAGAGGTGGGAGAGAGAGAGAGAGAGAGAGAGAGAGAGAGAGAGAGAGAGAGAGAGAGAGAGAATACAGGGTACCAAAATTCCACAAATTTTCAATTTATTAATGAGTCAGTGAATTGGGTAGATTTTATGTCTCTTACTAATAAGGATCAGGTGCCTGTTCTGTGGTGGGCAAATTAGGTAAAAAGAACCTATTTAGAGATTTTCCTTTTTAGCTTCATTCCTGACTTGTGTACTGAATGATGTAACTAAGCAAAGGACAGCCTCACTCCCCTCTTCCCATTGCAATAGAAGAACTTAAACTCTAGGAAGAAAGCCGCTGAGCAGAAGAGATCTTGATGGGAGCCTGCTATTCCCAGAGAACCACTATGGGGTGGTGCCGCGGTGCCCCGAGGTCAGGATTCCTGTGTGGGAGGTGAGGGCAGCTTCTGAGGCTGCTGGGGTGGCCCAAGTGGAGGAGCAGCAGTGGATTACTGTCACCCTGGTGGACCACCTGGTCAGGTACTTGGTGATCAGGTCCCTGGAGATGATCTGGCTCTTCTCCTTGATTGAATCCTTGATGGCAAGAAATCTGACATTGACTTTTTCTTGGGGCACAACTCAAGGATGAGATTTTGAAAATTGTGCCTCCCTTCTACCCCCCTCACCAGCCTTCTCCCCAGCAGACCAGTACTGGTCAATGATCAGGCTCAAGACATTTGTCCCTGTTGGGGATTACAACAGACATGTCAGTCTATGTGTTAAGTGCTCCAAGGATGTAGCCATTGCCACTGGGGGTGGGGGGGACCATCCTGGCCAAGCTTTTAGCATCTGCATTGCAGCTCTATGCACCTTGCCCCAGCTTGCGGCCAGGTCCGTCCCTGACACACCTTGGCCAGTGGCTGCTCTGCTGCCTGGGCTAATGGCTAAGGCCACCTTCGATTTCCTCTCCAAGACCCACAGCTGTTAAATTCTCCCTCTGGAAATACCCTGTTCACTAAGTCTTCCTAGATGAATGCCCTCATCTTCTTGTGAAGACCCCTCCCCTCCAACCAGAGCTTTCCTGCAGACGGCCTGGGCTCCAGCTGTGGCCACCATATGTTTTTTTATGCAAGGAAACAAAGTGAATTAACTTGTTAAGAAAAAAAAACACAGAAGAAGGTGTGTGTGTGTGGAGTGGGGTGGATGTGAGGAAGGTGGGGGAGTATTGGTAAAGAAGGGACTTTCTAAAGAGGCTGTCACAGAAATTTAGTAATGATTTTCTACCAAAGACACAGCAATAGGAAGTCATTGATCAGTACCAAAGGAAGTTTCTGGACAGTTTGATAATTATTCATAATCTATTCCTCAATCAATTACTGACTGCTCCATATGTGTCAGGAATTATTTTACATGTGGGGATTTCACCAAAGAAAAAGTCTTAGTTGCTGATTTGAGAGTGGACAGTGTGATGACTAAGTACCCTCAGGAAGGAACTGTTTATGGATGGATGTTATACGACAGTGAGATAGGCCTGGTAGAGAGAGCAGTAAAAAGAAGCGTCAAAATCTCATAGTGTTGGTGCCCAGGGTGAGCTTGGGTGACCTATTAGATTAGACACGTATTGTGGAGGAACTAGTAAAGACTCTGAAAATATTTATTAAAAATTCACATTCTTAAACAGCTGCCCTTTCCCACGTGCCTCTTTGGTGCCGCACTGTGTGTGTTGTGTTCACTCTCACAACATTATGAAGTAGAGATTCTTATCCTCATTTTACATGAGGGCACTTAGAGTCAGAGGGTTTGAAGAATTATCTAGGTTAGCACAGGGACAGAACCCAAAAGCCCAATTATTTATTTAAAAATTATGTTTATCAAGGTACATTGATTTCCAACACTATGTTCTGTACTTCTTCAGACATATGTTATCACACTGTAACTTCCACCAAAGCCCCATTAACCCTCCACTATGTCTGTTAAGTCTTCTCCCCCTTGCTGCCCCAGCCCCCAGCTTCTGGTAGCTTCAGTTCTGCAGTCAGAATTCAAGGGTTTGTTGTGTTTTTTTTCTCTGCTTTGTTTTTTATATTCCACATATGAGTGAAATCATCTGGTGCTTGTCTTTCTCCTGACCTATTTTTCTTAGCATGATCTCCATTTCCATCCAGGTTGACTGGCAAATTTCATCTTAAAAAGAAATTCTTGATGACCATGTCTTCCATGTTGTCTTTCTGCCTGTGTCTTAGGAAATATGTGTATAAAGAGTTGCATGGACATGTGTCCCCTTTAATGTGCTGATGATTTTAAATATCCCCAGTTTGAAATATAGTTACATGACAATGAAATGTTTTTGCTCATCACACAAACCAAAAACATTGTGTTTCATTCAGGGTAAACTAATCTGATATTATAACTTCCTATAGCTTTGGATAGTTAGGTGTCTTTTACTGCATTTGTCTTATTAGGAGGTGACTTCATTGCATGTCTTAGAAGAGTGTGGGTCACTCAGGGCAGCTGCTCAAAGGTATGCTCTAGCTCAGTGCACCTCAAACTTTAATGTGCTTTCTCATCCTCTGGGATTTCTGACTCTATGTCTGAACGGGGCCTGACAATCTCATTTCCAACATAGATGTTACCAGGTGGTGCTGGTATTGCTGCTCTGCAGACTGCAATTTGAAGAGCAGGAACTTATTGTGAATGCAGAAATCCTGATTTAGAGCCTGCATTGATCCTGTAATGCCATACAGCTTACCCCATTTATTAGAAAATAATTACTGAGTAGATGACTGGATCAAGAAGATGTGGTACATATATACCATGGAATATTACTCAGCATTCAAAAAAGATAAACACATGCAATTTGCAGCAACACGGATGGAGTTGGAAGGGATCATGCTCAGCGAAATAAGCCAGAAGGAAAAAAAAAACACCGGCTGGTCTCACTCATAGCAGGAATCTAGAAAACTTAAATAAGGGACCAGGAAAAAGAATAACTATAAGAAAGAAAATATCAAAGTCAACAAACAACTATGAACCAGGGACACTCTATGGGGGGTGGGGGGCAGGGAAAGGAGGGTTTGGGGTCAAAATAAGGGGGTTGTAATTGTAAGGGGAATATAAAAATAAAATTTAAATTAAAAAAAAATAATTATTGAGTATCTGCAATGCACAGACACATATACAACACAGAAGATGCAGCTCTATATCTATCTGTCTATCTATCTATCTATCTATCTATCTATCTATCTATCTATCTATCTATCTATCTATGAAAAAGCACAATCTTTGTGTATGCCCAGTGCATGCCTGTATGTGGGAGTGGTGGGGAAAGGGGGAAATTCTTCTTTTCCTTCTTGTTTGCATAGTGTTCAGGTGACAATAAGCACCATTTTTTTTTGTAATTAAAGTTATTGTTAAGAGTCATTTGCATTGAAGTGATGAAAATACACTATCGACACCAGGTTAAGGTAATACTATTACTGCAAGAGCAAGCGAGCACATCCCACTCAGGGGCTTCTTAGCCTAAAAAAATGGGGAAACATTACAGGTTATTATGAGGTGGGGCGACATGATTGCATTTGGTTTTAAAATGATAGTTTGGGAGTCAGATTGACTTGCAGGTGATAAGTTGGGAGGCAGGTAAAGCAGTTAGAAGGCTGTTGCCATAAACTAGGAAAGGTGAGACTGAAAGAAGGGGGTGGATGTGCAGAGACAAAATCAACTAGATTGCATGTGGGGAATGAAGACGAGATGAAAAACACAATGACTCTTGTTTGGTGTGGGCAGTTAAGTGGATGCTGGTCTCATTTATTGATGAGAACACAGGAGGAGTTTTGGAGTTTGCAGTGGGAACTCCTGTAAGTCCAAATGTCCCTGTGGGTCATTCACTATATCTTGTAGGATTTGGGAGAGGTGCCTGTGCTGGCGATACGGACTTGGATAATGATTGAAGCTGTGACACCAAATGAGTTCATCCACGGAAAATATATATTGCTGAGATGTTTTAGTTGGAGATCACACATATGGGTTTCAGGGAATCCTAAACCTTCATATTTTGTATGAAAAATCTACTTTTTATGTGCATTTTTCTGGGAATAATGATACTGAGGTTTCATGAAATTTGCCAAGGAGACTTTTAGTCTGAAAGTTTAAGAATCATTGTGTTGGAGTATGGAGAGAGACCAGGGTAGAACATGGGACACACACATGGTGTGGGAAAAAGAAGAAGCAGAATCTCAGAACAGAACCCTGGGCAGTGATAGTACCAGGCCAACCTTATCAGCTGTTCAGCTGACTTTAATTCTGCCACATTTTTTCCTGGGATTGACTCTAGGAAAAGAAAGACAGGGTTCTGGAAGATTGGGCTGCAAGCACTGATGAGGTTAAGGAGTAACAATCACAAATGAGGAAAACTTAGTGAACTTCAGGCCAAGGAATATTTGGAGATTATTTTTAGCACTTTCCAAAACCTGAAAACCTCTGATTACTTCTTCAGTAAAGAATATTAATAAATATCATTCCTTTAGTATAAAGAATTCTTGTCCATGGAACATGTAATTGCTTTTATTCATTAGGCTATATGGAAAAAGATGAAAGCAGAGTCCAGCATTGGCTTCACCTTGTAAAATTAAGATAAAAGATGAAATGCCTTTTGAAGTACAAATAGAATATTGCTTTTTGATTCATGTTCTTTGCAAATACATTGTGTTTCAGAAGTTTTTCACACCAGTTGTACTGAGAACAATTCAATCTTGATCCTGTATCTGTTTTTTTTTTTTTTTTTAACATAACACTAGCAACACCTTAAATTTGTCCTCACAACTCAATTTGTTACCTATTTTTATTGGCTAATAGCAGTACTTGGGAATTTTGTTACAGTGTTAAAAAAAAAAAAAAAAGACACAGTCCATACCAGCAATGAGGCTCATTGATGGGGTTGGGCTGTCTACCGTAGTTTTCTGACTGGAGTACTTACTCACTGGGAAATACTGTATTTTCACCTTGGCCAATCATCCTTCTGTTTGCAGTTATATTAGTTTTCTATTGCTATGTTCCAAATCTAGTGATCTCATGCCATTTGCAACAACATGTATGGAGCCGGGAGGAATTATGCTAAGTGAAATAAGACAGAAGGAGAAAGATAAATACCAGATGGTGTCACTTATATGTGGAATAAAGGGAAATCAAGAAAAGGGTTAAACAAAGAGAAACTTTAAAACCATCCCTTGAAGCCTCCCTGGTGGCCTAGGGATTAAGTCTCAGTGTGACCACCGCGACAGCCCTCCTATTGCACAGCGGCCGAGTTTGATCCCTGGCCAGGGAGCTGACCCACATGGCACAGCAGACCTCTCCTGTCTTGCCCGCTTCTCTCCCCAAAAGTGTATTTCAATGGATCCACCTGTTCTGCTCCCCACTCTGTCTCTGGTGAATCATCTTCTCCCTCCCCCCAAACCCACACCTCTGGCCTACATCCCCAGTTCTTCTATGCAAAAATAAAATAAAAATCTTACAATAAAGGAATAATTCTTTAAAAAAAACCCCAAAATCCAAAAAAGCAATCCTTGAAAACTTACCATAGTTCTGAGGCATCCAGAGGGTGAGGAAGAGCAAAATGGACTGTGCTGGAAGACTTCATGGGTACTTTGGTGGTGGGTGTGCTATGGTGACTTCACTTGAGGGGGAAAATCCTATACTGCCAAAACACTGAAAAGAATGTAAAACAATGTTACTTCAATTAAAAGAAGGGAGATAATGCCTATGAATTTTGCTTCCATTTTTAACATAGGCAATGACTTCTAAGTTGGGACAATTTGGTGTCGTTGTGAGTCAGCTTTAATGGATAGTAGGATCAGGTAAAGTTGGAGTTCAGCAGAATAGTTAATGAACATATTTTCAGTAGATTGAACTTGGCAAAATAGCATTTGCTTATAGTTCAAGAATTTCTCCTTATGAGAATCAAGCCTTTATTTCATGAATAACAACTAATCCATCTCGTCTTGATCCATATAATCTATAAAAAGATTGTCTATGAAAATTCATCTATAAGGAATTTCATATCCCTTTTAAAGGCTTTTCCTGTTTTCCTCCTTCCAATGGCCTTCAAAAATGCCATTCTTTATTAAATTTTAGGACACCTTATGCCTAATTGTAGACTTAGAATAATGGAGGTTGTAAGCTTGCCACCATGTCTTTTAAATGACCCATTTGGTGTTAATAAACACATGAGATGTACATGAGGGAACCTCAAAATAGGATATGTTGTAGGTCAAGATTGATTAGACCTTATTTTGTAGTGTCTTTAGCAGCTACTTCCTGCAGCTCTCTTGGGTCAGTTAAAGGGAGTGACCCCATCCTGTAAACATTGGGGTTGCTGCTAGAACTGTGGGCATGTATGAAAGCCTTTCAACTGAATGGATTCCATCCCTCTGAATCTGGAGAAGGAAGTTAATTAACATGAGAGTGTGTGGGGAGAGATGTTTTCTGGAGGTCATTGTTAGTCTTTTTGCTACCTGAGATTAAGGAGTGGTATTTTGAAATTGGGAACAGAAACTTGGTCGTGGATTTTTGTAACTTTTTGTTTTGTTGTAGGTCTTAGATGCTAGTTATGTTTTAGAACAGTTTGATTTTACCACCTGAGGAATAAATCAAGAAGAAGGGGGGATTTAACTTGTGCTCTTGAGTGGGGAGAGCCGACTTAACTAAATCACCAACACTCTGGCGACTCTGCTTGTATTGATTCTGGAAAGTACAGGTACAGCTAAATTTGCTTTAACTTTAAATTACTACACAGAAATTCATGCCTGTTTTTAATCTCTTTATTGATAAAATAATATAAGTATGTTTCTTAAGTCGTAATGGGATCCTTATTCCCTCTCTGAAGAATTTCGCTTCCTATTTTGTGAGTACAATTGCACATTTCTCAGAAAGAATTGCCTTAGTGATTCTTAGAACATAGCAATTAAAAAAAAGTGGCAAGAAGGCACTCTCCCTTCTTACCTGCAGGTAAATTCATCAAGGTCACATATGATAATAGGCAAGAAACTGTGTGATTTAAATATTTGTTGAATGACTAGATGGGACAGTAGCTTTAAGAAAACTGTTGTCTGAAAAAAAAGCATGTATGTGTAGAAATACTTGCAAAGTGCTAAAAGAGAATTATAAAACTTTATGATACTTCCCCAGAAGAAATACTTTTTTTCAGTTGGGGAAATCTGGGGATGACTTAGGTGACTTGGGCATGTTGAACCTCCCTCCAGCAATGCTCAGTAGCTGAAAACTGGGAGGAGACTTGTCTAGTGACTAATGCAGATTATACACCCCTGACCTGTTGAGCCCAGAATGTTTTCCAGGCCTGTTAGATGAAAGGTTAGAGGCCTGCAGATTCCAGAGAGCTAGTGAGGACATGACTGAAATAGGTGAGATGCACAGTGGACAAAGAGGCAAGTTATCTCAGAGGGTGTGGTTAATGGGAAACAAGAGGACACAAACCCAGAATACTGCCTAGCCTCTCTATCAAATGATATATGTGAGAGCACCTGGTACAAGGTTGGTCAAAATATGGTGCTTAATGACAGCATAGTGCATAAATAGGTGAATAAATAAAAGGCTCTCAGTCAGTGCTGGGTGAATGTGAACCTGGAAGGTGTTATAGAATGGAATTTTATGGAAGGACCCTGGGGATAAATGTCACAGCGAGAAGAGGCCTCATGGGAGTGAACTAGTAGAAGAGCTCAGCAGAAGGTTGTAGTCTTTTCTGATTTTTTTTCTTTATACGTGGAACCTCTCTTAATCAACTCCTCCTGTTTCCCTCATGCTTCACATTCTTTCCATAATTCTTACCATACATAAATCCAGTGGCTGAACACACCACATACACAGGGTTTAAAGACTGTTCTTGCTTTCCTTTCCCCATTTGATCTCTCTGCTTATTGAAACTACTGTTTTCCTCAAATTTGTTTATGCCAGTTGCATCTTAAATGATGTAATTTATTTATATATTACACAAATTGATGAAATATAAATGCAAAAAAGAAGAGACTATTGCTTCCATGAAAATTTAAGTGGAATGAGGTATAGAAATGCAATAAAATTTAATTGCTAAATAAGATTTCTCTCTAAGCAGATGTGGGTGAGAGAATATAGACAACTAGAAAAATATTGAAACATTTTGTACTTGGCTTTCTGTTTTGTTTTATTTTGCATGGTGCAGTATTACAAAGAAGATAAAAGTGCCGACTCTGGAGGCACACCTGCCCGAGTTAAAATTCTGTCTTTACACATATTAGGCAGTTGGGTGACTCTCAGTGCCTCAAGCTCCTCATCTGTAAAGTGGACTAATGAATCTTACTAGTTGTTACATTGTAATCACTTGTGCCACTAGCTCCCCAGAGTCAAGTCAGACTTCACAGGCTAAGGGACAGTCATTCCTAAGACTTCTTTTACTTTTGACACCAGCCACAAGTTTAGGATCTGACATCTGCTCTCACTACTGAGCACTTGGCTACAAATGGAGGGTGTCCATTATCCTCTTGAATATGATAATTCACTAGAGTGACTCATAGTACTCAGAAAAGTGTTATACTTGCAACTACAGTTTTATTATAGCAAGAGGATGCAAATCAGAACCAAATGAAGGGCACGCTGCACAGTATGAGGTCTGGGAGGAGTGCAAATACAAGGTTTCCGGTAATCCTGTCCCTGTGGAGTTCCCTCCGTCAGGCATATCCATGTGTACTTCCAGATGGTGAAGCTTACCTGAGCTCCATGGATGCCGAGTTTTAATTAGAATTGCATTACATAGACATGGTTGATTGAATCCTTGGTCACACAGTTGAACTCAACCTCTAGCATCTTTCCTTTCCCTGAGGGTTGGGTTGATATGTGGCTCAAAGTCCTAGCCCAGTGATCACACAGTTGGTCTCTGTGACGTGGCCTGCCTCCATCCTGAGTCATTTCCTTAGTACGAACCACTTAGGGGTCCATCGTGGGTCACCTCATTAGCAAAAGCCATTAGGCCCCACTATAAATAATAAAGATATGCCTCTGACTTGGGAAATTCTGAGGATTTAGAAGCGACCTCCCAGGAACGAGGGACAAAGGCCAGAAGAAGTCTTTATTATACAGGGCCTAATTGAGTTTATGTTGGAAAGCACTTAGTAACACATAGGAAACACTGTATAAATGTTTCCTAAACAAGTAATCTCCACTTTGAAGATTCCAAACTGAATATTTATATTTTTTAAAAATGACTGCTTATGGGGTATAATAGCTTCAAACAAGAGAATTTTTTTATATTAATTATTTTTTATTTTTTACATCATTGTTCATTTTGAAACAATATTTGCTTCCCTCCACCCCCTCAGGTGTAGTCCCCATAGAGTTTCCTTCACCAATGCACCCGCGCACCATGACCACAGTCCCCTGTGCTCCTCCTACCCTCCTCCCTCTGATCCCTCTCCCTCCTCCTCCCCTGCAGTATGTCTCTGATTTATAATTGTCTGTTTTTGCTTTGTTGTGTTTTGTACTGTTATTATTTTTTTAAACTGATGTCTTATTGGGTTTCCCTATATTCCTGCTATAAGTGAAGCCATCCAATATTTTTCTTTTTCTTTCTGGCTTATTTCACTGAGCTTAATTCCTTCTAGTTCCATCCACATTGCTGCAAATGGCATGAGTTTATGTTTCTTGATTGCTGACTAATATTCCATTATGTATATGTGCTGCATCTTCTTGATCCAGTCATCTATTTTTGGACATTTGGCTTGTTTCCACATTTTACCTATTGTAAATAGTGCTACAATAAACATAGGTGTACCCAGGTGTTCTTTTGAATCAATGTTTTTGTGTCCTTTGGATTGATCCCTAGTAGTGGAATCACCGGGTCGTATGGTAGCTCCATTTTTAGCAGGTTGAGGAATCTCCACACAGCTTTCCACAGTGGTTGGACCAATCAAATGAGAATTTTTTGCTGTGTTCTCTGTGTTGTTTTCTTTTAGATATTCCTTTTATTTTGAATCTAGAAAACAAAACTATATTTTATGCCAATAAATAATCTTGGAAATTAAGTAGAAAAAAACCTACATCAGTAGATTTTCTGGTAGGAGATTTGGGTTCAAGTCCTTGCTTTGTTTTGCATTAGAAGTTTGTCTTTCAGAAATTCCTAACCTGAGCACTTACTTGTGTACTTTTTCTGGCATTGTTGACCCACTAAGGAATCATTTGGCACCAATCTCCTTGGAAGACTACATTTCTTCTTTATCATATCTTCCCCTTCCTGTTTCCTGTGTACCATCTTTCATTTTTTAATTAAAATTTTTTTTTCTGATCATGAACTTCATTCAGATCAGAATTAAAAAAGTTATCTTGTGAGAAAGTCAATGTTCTGATTCATTTGATGCTATTCCTCATAGTATTAATATTATTATGGTTCTTCGGGTCTCTGAAACCTGCAGTAGCAATATCATACCGTCATTATGAATCTTAAAAGAGATGGTGAAAATTCTGTGAGCTGGTAAAATTCAATGACTAGAAAATATTTTTATCCTGTTTTCACTGTTTTTTAAAAAGAAGTTTGTCTATTTTTTTTATTAAATGATGATTTAATATAAATCTGTACTAGTAATTATTAATAGTATGAGAAAGATACAGCTATTCCCAAGATAGGGTGAGACAGAAGCCCCATTAGCTGAAGTTGTATGTATGTCTGTATCTGTTTCTCACATCTATTCAGCTGTAGGTAGCTAGGCAGTTATAAATGGCTATATAATGATGAATAGTGCAAACAAAGTGTGAAAAAAATCTTAAAAACTCATTGACTATAATAATGAAAAATGTTATCTGAGCATGGCAGCCATTTTCAATTGCTCATCAACACTTTCAATGGTTTTGGTAAAGTTTGTTTTTATTTTTTCCTCAGAAAGAAGAGAAAATAACATACCACTAAAAATGTTCTTTGTATGAGTGTCTTCTATTTTTTATCTCTAGAAGTGGTTCTTGGGACATTTTTGTCCCAATAGAACAACATTTCCTACAGGATTCTTGTGAGATAGAAAGGGGTCCTACGGTCCAGTATGTTTGAGAAATATTGGGGTAGTTTAAAAAATAGCTAAAATATGAATATCTATGGCTAAGGAACAGCATGCCATATTTCTCAAATATAATTGCACATGCATTTCTTTTATAAAATGGAATACTCATGAATGCCCCCAAGGAAAAAATAGGGCATGGAAATTCCCCCAAACAAACAAACAAACAAACAAAAAAACAACCACCACTTTTTGGAATAGCCCCTAATTAAAGGAATACACAGTTCTCTTGATGTTCTCACATAGAGACAGTTTGATTTGAGTTTTTCTTAATTTGCTGAGTTCTTCACTTGGCTATGTTATTTCTGAGTTCATGGTTTTAGAATGCCAATGTGAGTAGATACAGTACAAAGTAATTATAAGAAGCCACCGTAGCAGCAGGATTCAAGAAGAGTCTAATGATGAATGAGGAAGTAAAAAGGCAAAAAAGGGGTCATAGAACTTTGTTATTACACAGAAGATGCCAGCAGATGTTCAAAGTATGACTCTGCTATTAAGGCATAGTTAAATTGTATGATCTTTGTATAAGAGCACATTTTTTTGAAAGGCATCTGTAAAACTGATTTTTAAATCCTTTTGTTTAAAATTTTTGTTTCTGTGGTAAACTTTGGAGAAATTAATTTACACAGAGCATATCACTCCCCAACAGAGCCAAGTTACTGAAAGGAAATATAGCATGATGTGGTTGCAATGAGGCTATGTTCAGGTATTGGGGCCTCTTATAACTTTGTTAACACAGGATACAGCTTTTCAATTTCTCGAACCTGATTTTTCTCAGGTGTAGAGATGGCAAGTTCTGCTTCACAGGATTATTGAGGAAATAAAATGAGAGACAATGTATAAAATCACTTATACTTGCTCAGAATAAACTTTCTTTAATAATAATAAAGATTCTTTTAAAATAATTTACTGTTGTTATTCAAATTCTAAAAAGTCTCTCTGTCATTTAATTTTCCTAAGTCTTTATCTGTTAGTGATGTAGCCAGTTTTGAGTTTATAGAAAAAGCAAACTATGCGTAATAGAACCAAACATTGAAGTATGGTTGGAGGGTGAGGTCTGTGGAAGGCAAACAGATTTAGTAATTATTTGTGATTTTTCAAGAGAGCAGACTGCAGTGATGTGAGTATCACAAGAATTTCCTTTTTGATGCTGAGTGAAGAAGAGATAGGGCAGAAAGCTGAAGGGATTTTAGGCAAGGGACTTTATTTATTTTTTTTTTCCTGTTTGGGAAAAGATGACTTCCTTAAGTTTCTCGAAGGTCAGCAAGAATAAGAAGACAGTGCAAAGAATTCCTGTGCAGGAATCAGATCTGCTTCAAGTTCAGTGTGACCTTGGACATAATTGTCAGCTTTTCCAAGCCCTGTAAAAAGGAGGCACTAAAACCTTCCTTGTCTTCTTCATGACTTTGAAGTGAAGCTCATGTGAGATAAAGCCTATAAAACCCCCCGAAAATTACAGAGTATGTTATCCTACAAAGTAAGTAGAAAACATTCCTTTCTGAAGATGGTTTGTCTGTGTCCAGGATGCTTACCTTTATGGCTAGTGATATGAAAATATTTTTTGCCTGTTTAGAAAGGGCAACTCTGATTCTTGGTGAAGTGTTTATTGAACTGAATTGAATTGACACAGCGCTAACATGGCAAATGCACTTTTAGATTACAAGGCAAATCACTCCTCTCCATTTATCAGCTAAGAGCCCTCCTTCTGTTCTCTTTGGACATTCTACCTGAGTTCTTGTTGTTTTCATTACTTCCCAACTGCTGTGCGACTTGTCAGTTCTGGATTCTTCATCTCACACGGTTTAACCGTATCTCTCAGCAATTTTCTGACTGAAAAAAATTGCCTGCTTTTTGTTTTCATTGAGGTAAAATGGTATCCACTTAAGGCCCATTTACACAAGGAGGAAAAAAGACTCTTTAGAAACCTACTATCAAATGTGGCTTTTCCAAACCCTGTTTTGAACACTGTGGTATCAGCAGTGTCAAAAGGTTCATTTTCAAAATTTTGAGCGAGGACCTGTGAAAGAACTTCTAAATCTGAGCTTTATTATATCCCCTTCAATTCTGATTTAGTTTTATTCTCCAGCTTTCAAATCTATTTTTGGCCCAGTTTGTATTCTGTGGGGCCAAGGGGAAAACGACATTTTCTAAGAATTGCAAACACTCTGACAAGAATGTAAGTACCTTAGAAGGAAGAACACCACAAAGCTTTTGTTAGTTCTTTATTTGGAGATTCATGTCTTAGCCATGCTAGTAGAGGAAGAGGAACATGGGACTATATTTTTATTTTACAGGAAAATAATTGAAATTCTGAATGATATAGTGGCAGAGTTGTGTGTAATATTTATTGATGTCAGGGAAACCATGTAGGGAAGCAAAAGGTGAGCGGAGAGGATTAAATGATAGCATCTCACACACTGTTTGCCAGACTGGAGGTTAGTAACCCATACTGCCAGTGTAATTGGGGGGCCCAGAAGGGCAGTGTGACCAGAATGACTTTTCAATTTATTTAGTCTTAGGCTTTAATCTTTGAGATTTTATATATATAGATATATGTCATTATATATGTATCATCTATATATAAATGGAATCACTCAAAATGTGCTCATTTTTCCTTTGGATTCTTTCATTCAGCATAATTATTTTAATATTCATCCAAGTCATTGTATGTATCATTTTTTTTTAAATGGCTTTGTGGTGTTCTGTTGTATAGATATACCACATTTGGTCCATTTACCTTTTCATGGATATTGAGGTT